AGTACTAGGAATTGAACTCGGGACCTTGCGCTTGCCAGGTGGGCACTGTGCCACTGAGCTGCATCCCTGGCCCTCAGTTGATCTGTAGATTCAGTGCAACCCCAGTTGAAAACCCACGCAAGCTTTTCTTTGGGTAGACATTGACAAATTGGTGATAAAATTAATATGGAAATACAGAAATTTTAGAAGAGCCATATCTTTGAAAAGAGGATTGAAATGGAAGATAAACAGTACCTGATTTTTAACTCTCTGGAGAGAAGATAGTCTTTTCAATAAATTTCTGGAACAATTGGGTATCCATATGCATAAAGGAAGCAGCTCATACTTTAAGTCATGCCCAAAAATCAGCTCAAATGTATTGTAAACCTGAGTGTAAAACATAAAGCAATAAAACCTGTACATGAAGCCTTTGTGCCCTTAAACTGGGGAAAGATTTATTAGGTAAGATGCTAAAAGTATGATATGATATGCTGTATGATATGCATAAAAGAACAAATTAATAAATTGAACTTCATCAAAATGTGATACACATTCTTCAAAAGCTGCTATTAGTGAAAAGAGAAATTATAGACTGGGAGAGAATGTTTTCAAAGCATAAATTTGACACAAGACTTAACTGCAGAGTCTATGGAAAATAACTCAGAACACAGTAATGTGAAACAGACAACCGAGTAAAAAAGTACGAATGCCAAAACATGTCATATAAGCACACAAAAAGATATTCAAAGCCACTATTCTGTAGGGAAATATAAATATGCAAAGTAAAACCATAGTGAGAGTTTATTTCAAGCCCATTAGAATGATTAATAGTAAATGTGATAGAACTTGAGCTCATTCACTGCTGGTGGGAATGTAAAATAGTGCAACCAGTTTGGAAAATAGCTTGGCAATTTCTCACATGTTAATCATACCCCTACCATATGGTTGCACTGTTTTGTTCCTGGGATTAATCCGAGCAGAGGAAAGCGTGCACCCATATGATGTCTTGGGCACGAATGTTCGTTAACTCTCTTGTGTAACAGCTGAGAACCAGAAGCAGTCCAGGGCATGTCCAAGGCAGATGCTGGCATAAACAAACTATGGGTGGGACATACTCGGCCTCTGCCAGGGATGTGCCCTTGGTTCCTGCAGTATCACGGATGGATCTCAGCAATGCTACCTGAGGGACGCTAGACCAGGACCACACAAACTAGCCTGGGTGCGCACTATGCATCCCGTTTATATAAAGATGTAGGAAATGTGAACCACAGCGACAGCTTAGAGTGGTGCTCACCTGGGCACTGTGGTGGGCAGGACGGAGGAGTAGAGTTGAGCCCAAGAACACTTTTGAGGATGATGGATCGCTGTCTTGATTGTTACAGTGTTTTCACAGGTGTGCATATAGCAAAACTGAACAAATTACAGACTTTATGTGTAGCTTATTGTGTGCCAGTTATACTGTAGTAATGATGCATAATATAAATTACTGAACAAAAACTGATACGCAGCTGTAGCCATGTGAGACTCCCATTTCCATGTCTTCCCAATCCAAAGACTTCAAAGCAGAAGCATTGCTTGAGATAAAGGGGGTTGTCCGTGTCAATACTAATTTTGTTGGGCATATCAGGAAGATAAAAAAGGTTTGAATCTGTATGCCACTCACAACAAAGCTTCCAAATGTGTGAAACGAAACCAAGTTTGACAGAACTCTAAGGGGGAGGCAAATAAAGCCACTCTTATAACATCCCTCAGTTATCGATAGATCATACACAGATGAAGACAACCAATAAGGCTTGATAGAAGACTTGAACAGCACTATTGGCTAGCTGGTGGGCATGCATGTAATGTTGTACCCAAGAACGCTAGAATATTTGCCCTTTGAACACACACCTGGTGTCAGGTACTTCCACTACTCACTGTGGTCCAGGCATTGTCTATTTAATCTTAATGACATTTACAGATGAGGAATCTGGGGCCCAGAGAGGCCAGGCAAGCTGTCCCAGATCACAGGGCAATTGGTGGGGTCTACGCTTGTATCCTGACAGGCTCCTCTAGAGTCGCATACTGGATCTGTAACAGCACTGCCTCAGTGGATGTTTGGGAAGTTGATTGGGGTCTACTGCAAAAATCAGCACCATACAAAATCACATTCCTTTATAACACAATTGAGCTACAAATTCATAACTGAAAAATGCTAAAAAGACAACAGAAACGAACCACTTGTGTTTACAGATTCAAAAACATACTGATAAGTACGCTATGATCCAAAGAAGGAAATCATAAAAGAACCTAATCTGCCTCTGAATTTGGGATAATAAAGACTCATTACAAATGTGGTGCACAGCTAGAGTGGAACTGTGTAAGGAGATTGGCAGGTTGAAATGCTTGCTTATATCAGAAATGAAGCAAAGCCATTAATTAATGAGCTAGTTATCTGTCTTAAGTTAGAAAAATAATTAGAAAAAACTAAGTAGCAGCTACTGTACTTCTGTGTATGTTTGAAATAGCCATTATAAAGAAATTAAAGGAAAAACAACGTTAGTACCAGAAAGAAGGCAATAAAGATAACAGCAGAAGTGAATGAGACCTTGAAACTCATCGTCAGAATCAGACAGTGTTTATTGTAAAAGACTAAGGAAATTAATGAACCTGTGGCATGATTAATAAGCCAGATGAGGAAAACGCACCTGAAAGTGGCATCAAGAAATCCATATAGGGCAGCACTACAAACACAATGGATATTTTAAAAAGCACTATATTATGAACACATTTGAAAACGTAGATGACCAATTCCTGGAAAAATAAAAGTATCCAAAATTCTGAGAAAGTCAGGCCCTTTCCATTTTATAAGAGTTGCCCAGCAACAGCCAGGGGCCATACTTCCCAGCCCTGTTCGGACTGGACAGAGAAGGAAACAAGCAAATGTAACTGACTGCTCAAGCCAGCGAGGGGAGTTAGAGAAGGGAGCTAATCTTACAACTGTATTTGCAAATGGAACCTAGGCATGGTCGAACATTGGACATGTTCTGACCAAGCAGATTTTTGTGGGATACAACGTGGCTCATTAAAGGAACTGTAACAGGCACCATATCCACCACACTAACAAATTGAAGGGGGACAATTTATCATCTCGAGTGACTCAGGAGGTCATCTGATTTGATTCATAGCCATCCATGCTAAGAACACATTAGGAGTGGAAGGGAACTTTTCTAATCCGCCATGGATCATCTACAAAGAAGGCCTTGATGCACATCACTGTCCATGGTGAAATGTTGCAAGTAGCTGACTCCTTCAACATCAGGAAGTAGAAGGCAAGGGTGTCGTTTGTTGTGGCAGCGCCAGTGCTGGGCAGCATGGTGGAATGAGCCGAAGACACTCCAGGCTGCCATTGCTAACACTCTGAGCAGCCATCCTACCTGCACAGTGACCTCCAAGGCACACTGGCCCCCTGGGGCACCTGCCAGTGCCTGTCCTGTTGTTCCCTTTCCCTCTGCAGTCTGATGTCTTCTCCTGGCTGACCCTGTGCCCCGACTGTTCTTTAGCCTTGCAGCTCTCAGCATTTATTTCTGTCTGGGCCACTCCAGGCTCACATCTGAACTTGGCTGTCCCTTAGACATCTCAGATTTGGAGTATCCAAGGGATGAGTTGCCATCTCCCCCCGAACACTTTCTCCTGCAAATTTCAGCAACCTTTCCTCATCTCAGGTAATGGGAAACTGATCCAGTTGTTGAGGACAAGACCACTGGTTTTGTCCTTGATTCCTCCCTTTCCCTTATAGCCCAGGTCTCCCTTAGCTATGTGTCTTCTAGTCTCAGCCTTCAGCTAATAGCTTTAGAATTTGCTTTCTGTCCCTGCCCAGGCTGCACCACTAATGCATCTTGGTTTCTGGCGACCCTGTCCCTGTCTTGTCTCCCTGGTCTGTCTCTCCTTACCAGCCCTGTGCTCTGTCTGTTCTCAGTAGGAACCTTCAAAGCCTGCATCTGGCCCTCCTCGGGGTTTTCCAGGCCCACGACCCCGAGGATCTGTCCCCTCACAGTCACCTTCCCACCAGCCTCATTTTCTGCTTTCTGCCTCCCTCTGCACTAGTCCTGCTGTCCTCTCAGTGTATCTGGCACGTCTGTGACCTTGGGTTTTTGTGTTTTTGATGTGTGCACCTTGATCACCCCCTACCCCGAGTTTGCCTGGCTTTCTCTCTTTGGGTCTTTGTTTCAACATGTCTGCAGTTGATGGCCATCATATTGAAATCTCAGCCCCCAAACATGCACAAATACCTCTGCTTTTTCCTAGTCCCCCATCTTTGCCTTATTTTTTCTAAAGCATGTCATCGCCATCTTACAAACTATGGATTTTATTTAGTCGCACAGTAGGCCAATAACTGCAGTTGTGTATGTAGCATGAGGACTTGGCTAGACCATGAAGATGGCACTCTGAGAGAAGATGGGGTTTGGGGAGCCCCCGGGCTCAGCAGGTGGCAGCGCAGGCTTGAGCTAATATGGCAGCCACAGGGACAGGAGGCAGAAAGTGTTCTCAAGGGGACCTGCGGGAGCCTACAGGAAGGCCTGGCAGAGTCTCCAGTGAGCGACAACGCTCCAGGCATGTGGAGACCAGGAGGGGGCGGTGAGGAGGGCACATCCATTGGCTGACCAGAGAGCAGACAGTGACTCCAGTGACTCCGACCACACGGCCTCCCTGGGTGCAGCAGGAGTGGATCCTCGCTGCACCACCGCTGGCCATCCCCTGCCCCACACAGGACAGCCCGCATCTGCTCCCGGCGGGCTCCAGCAGGCTCCAGCGAGACCCATGCTTCCCAGCCTGTTCAGCAGGCTGCTGCTACTTAAGAGCGAATGGTATTTATTTGAATAAGACCTGAACATTGAAACAAAGTCATGAAGTAAAAGTGAGCGAGCACTGCCGCTCTGGTCTCCCCAGCCCTGACTGCGTGAACCCTGCCAGACTGCTGATGACTGTGGCATCACTGATGGGGTGGACATTGACGTTCTCTCGCCTATTTTCCTTTGCAGTCGGAACCCGAGGGCTTTTCTCATTTCCACCTGTACGTGTGTGCAGCTTTCCTCGTGAGATGGAGGAAAGAAATTCTAGAAGAAAGAGATTTTCAAGTAAGTAAGCGTCTTTTCAGAAGAGCCGAGGTTGGTTTTGTGCTGGGAGGTTTATGGCGCTTATGTCTGCGGTGGTTGGTGGGGGCCACGGTGTTAGCTCCGCTCCTGCTGCCCTCGACATGGGCAGTGCTCAGCTGAGGATGCAGAGAAGTGAACTCAGGGGAGCCTAGGCTAGACTGTCCACCCTGTCTGAGAGCTGAGCTCGCGTTCTGTTTGCAGCACCCTGGAGGGGCAGCGTGACCTCCAGCACACGGGCACATCAAGGCACCTCACCTCAGATGTCCATGTCCTCTCTGAGGGCCGAGGGAGGGGGCAGGCAGGAGGCTCCATTGCTCCCTTGTGGTGAACAGTTCTGCCCCCAGGAAGGCCCAGGCCTCTGCCGGCCTGGAGCTGCCACCCAGGTGCTCCTAGGTGGAATGGAGGAGGTCATCACTGTCACTTCCACAGCTGCCCTGTCATTGGCAGTGATTTCCTGTGCCCTTCAGGAAGCTCCCCATGCTGGCCACGGCCCCTGCCCTGTTGCACACATACCAGAGATATCTGTGCTGCTCTGGGAAGGTGGAGGCCCCAAGAGAGGCCGTGACTTGCCCTAGCACCAGCCGCTAGACGTGTGGGCTGTCTGGACCGGCTTGCTTTCTCCTGTATATGCTTTCTCATACGCAGGGGGAGCTGTAGAGCAGGGTTAATTGAATTTCTGGCCTGTGACCCTTGCCTGTTTATGGAAGAGGGAGGCCCGACTTCTCCAGTGCCTGGTGGCCCCTCTCACTGTGACAGTGGGCTGTGTGTGGCTCTTGCAGCCCTCTGTACACTGTGTTCCCCTGCTGGCTCTCGGGAGGCTCTTGTTCTAGATCCTCCTTCCTGCCTGGCCCCAGATCATTCCCTGACCTTTGGGTTCCTACCGCTTTGGGTCCAGCCCAGCTGTGTCTGGAGGTGGGCGGGTGGGAACTTACAGTGTGCGTGCATACACCGGAGGTCCTCGCAGCCCACTCCAGGCAGATGCAGGCCACACCCCAGCGTGGCGTCCACACGCTGGTGAGATGTGAGTGGTAGCAGAGTTAGCAGCGACCAAGAAGAGCTGTGAGAGGGACTTCATCTTCACCACCCCTCCTCTGGTCCCCCGTGCACAGGGTGGGACAGGGCACACTGCACATGGAGCTCTGAAGCCTTTATCCCTGCTCGCGAACGAGCAGCAGAGTCACACTGCCATGGGGGTGGTTGGGCACGGGACAGAGGTGGGAGCAGCCAGTACACGAGGGGGGCTCGATCCAGCTGGGGCTCTGGCACAGTGGCCTGTGGGACCTGCTGCAGCCTTTAGCGAAAGTAGGGAGGACTTGCAGTGAGAGCATCCGCTTTGGCTCAGCCTGCCATATTTATTACATGTTTGTTCAAAGACACCATTTGACTTTTAGCTGGACACTGTGGAGTCAGCATGAGAAGGTACACCCCAGATGGCTCATTAAAATGTCTTGCCAGGGCCGGATGTGATGGAACATGCCCGAAAATCCAAGCGCTTCGTGAGGCTGAGGCAGAAGGATCACAAATTCAATCCTGGCCTGGGGAGCATGGCAACTTAGTGAGACCCTATCTCAAAAACAGAAAAAGGAAAAAGAAAAAAAGAGTAAAGGTCTGGGGTTGTAGCTCAGTGAGAAGCCCCGGGTTCAGCCCCCAGTACTCACCCCACAGGTCTTGCTGGCCCTCTCTGAAGTGCAGGGAGGACACCCAGGGGCTGGGTGTGGGTGCCATTCAGGCCCAGGGCCCAGGAGCTCCCAGCCCTCCCTGCACTTAAGCCGGGTGGGAGGGGCCGGAAGGGGAACTGTGGGCTGATTTCTCCCTCTGAGGGCAAAATGAACTAAACTAAAAAAGTGCTTTTCTTTATCATGGGGCTGGATGGTGAGTGCATTTAAGAACCCAATGTGTTGTGGCGAATTGAACTAAATGGAAGGGAAATAAGAAAGAGAAAACAGAAATTAAATAATACATCCAAGGAGTCCTGGTGAGCATGGGGTGATTGCTTTGTAGTTGTGACATTATAAGACGATGCTTTTGTGCCACGGCAGGCAGCCAGGCAGGATGGGTGAGCCCCTGACATGAGTTGCATGAACACTGGCAGCAGGAGTTTGAAGGTCCTCGCTCCTCACAGTGCTGCTGTTGGCCCTCTGGGGAAGAATGGGTCGCTGCGAGTCATTTCCACAGGTGGACCCGGGCTGGGGTTTTGCCCGGTGACTGCGGTCCATGGTGCGGTCCTGTACTAGTCATGGGGCTGTGGCTGGAATTGGGCAATCGGAGTGGTGCTTCCTGGGTACAGGCTGGAGCCACAGGCAGCACGGCCCGTGTGGTCATCTGTGGTGCTGGGTTAGGCTCATGGCTGAGCCTGCTTTGGAAGTTGGGATTGGATACTTCTCTGTCTCTGAAACATGAATTTTAAACTGTGTAGACCATAGAGAAACAAAACAGAGCAGCCTAGGAAACACTGTGATCATCCTTGGTCTAGATAGAAATGGGGTTAGTATGAGTCCAACCGGCAGGTTAAGTGCCCAGAGAGTTCTAGAGGGAACTGAGTTGTGGAACGGAGAATACATCTTTTGCATAAGTATTTGTGGGACATTTGAAAAAAATTAAACAATAAAGCTAGCAGAGTAGCCAAGCATGTGGATATTGAGAACCCTTTCCAGTAACCTGGGATGAAGCAGAAACAGCACCATGGTTTCAGGGAGATGAGTAGACATAGTAGTGTGGTCAGTGCTGGCCTTGCATGCAAATCTAATGCCAAAGTGCATTTAGTATTTGAAACGTTTTTCCAAGAAGTCAACTAAGCCTCAAAAAGTTAAAAGAGGAAAAATAAAATCAGCTTCTGATAAAGATGATAAAAAGTTAATGAGTAGAACTGAATGCCTGGACAACAAGTTGACAGCCGAACGCTTGGTGCTCCCGGGGGGCGGTTACAACGGCTAATGAAGTAGGCAGACCGGATGGCAGAGCCGGGCACTAGGCGGACAGACCGGCCTTCTCAGTGTTCAGAAGAGGGATTTATGTATTTCAGGAGAACATGGAGGGTTCAGCTCGCATAAGATAAGTTTTTTGAAAAAGCCCCGGCAACCTGGATGGACCCAGTGTTTCAATTTGGGATAAATACATTGCCAAAGCCTTACTTCTGAGGCCAGCAGGCACCTCTGCAGTGAGCTATTTTATTACTCCACGTGCTCTTGTTCCAGGGAGGAGTAGAGAACCTGGCGTCCCACCTCAGAGCTGAGCTCTGACTGTCCAGGACTTGGCTGCCTGTGACTTCTAGCTCTCTGTCTCTCCTTGTTTCACTCTGGCTGCTGTCACAAAATACCTGAGACTGAGTAATTCATAAATAATAGGAGTTTGTTGCTTGCAGTTTTAGAGGCTAGAAGTGAACTGAGAGAGCGCAGGTAGGTGTGTGGGCCCCCACTTGTCCGAGGCTTTGCCCTGAATCGACCATCAATAAAAGTTGGCCTCCCTGTGCCCCAAGCCCTGGCTCTCCTTCCACCCATCTGCAGTGGGCGTTTATGTTCTCTTGGGACTGCAGCACCCCATTACCTCCAAATGGGTCGAAGCCCAGCATCTGGGCAATGACCATGGTGGTTCACTCCTAAGTGGGCAATTTAGTGACTTAGAAGATCCTGCTGTCCCCAGCAGGATGGATCTCAGACCTGTCATTCCCGACAGGTCTCTCTTCTGTCCCACGGAGTGCCAGCCTCCTAGGACAGAGCTACTGCTGTCCTCATTCACACACCGGGGCCCCGTTCATCGTCTTGGGGAGTCCTCTCTGTGGGGTCACCAAATGGGCCTCGACCCAGTGTGTCCTCCTCTGTCCCACTGGCTCGTCTGGCATTGCTGAGTGGCTGCTGGGGTTTAATGGTGTTATACAGGTTTGTATTCTGTCTAGTGTTCATCTGAAGCAGCAAATGTCATGAAATGCCAAGGAAGAGATCAGGCGTCTCCCACTTCACCATTTCAAGATGTCTTAAAGACAAAATTGGGTCAATTGAAAGCTATCTTCAGGGTGGATTGTTGTGCTTTTCTGTAAGTGCTTGTGTCCAATTGTGGCTTGTGAGGCCATTGGTGGAGCATGGGGCTTATGTGGCCTTCTGTGTGGGGTTTGCATGGCTGTGTAATGTTTTAGCTGCTTGTACTGTCCATAAACAGGACTCCTGGGGCCCGGACCCCACCTGCTGTGTTCCTGGGTGACATCATGGAACTCCCCAGGAGGAGGCTGTCCATAGTGACTGGGCACTAGCGGGTTGGAGAGGGGTGTGCTCATAGGCTGGGGCCCAGCATGAGCAACAAGAGTGAAATCTGGCCAGTGTTGATCGGGGCTGAGGAAGAGGCCCTCATGGGGTGAGAGTGAACTAGCTGCCTTGTCAAGTGGCACAGCAGGGCGCTGGCCCCATGTGTTCTTGGCTGGCCAGGAGAGAACAGATTCCGCACACGGGCCAGCCTGGCTCCCCAGGGCTCCTCTCCACCTCCAAGGCCACACAGGAGGCAGAGGAAGGAACAGAGGCTGGAGGCCAGGGAGCCATGGCTTCCCTGGAGCAAGGAGGGCAGAGCAGCCAGCTGAGGTATCGTGTGGCCAGGAGGAGGTCACAGTGAGGAGGCTGGTTGGTGATGGCAGCTGCTGCATATGGCCTTGGGATAAGGGGCAGGGGGACAGGAGAGGGCCAGCCCCAGAGGTAGGGGAGCAGTGGCCGCAGGCTGAAGGGGTCAGGTTGTGTGGCTTCGGCCTGAAGGTGGCTGTCGCTTGGTACTGGGGCCCCAGGGATCAGTTGAGGTTCAGATGAGGTCACACGCATGTCCAGAGAGCCTGTGTGTGGGACCCTAACTTGGCTGTGCTGGGGGACAGAGAAGGATGCGTTGCATCTGTAGGAAACCAGCTAGGCAGCAGTAGGACATGGGGGCAGGAAAGGGCAGGAGCCTGTGGCTAGCTGCGGGGAGGACGACGGGCTCAGCAGCCAAGGGCTAAAAGGGCTGAGAGCATT